TTTCCTAGTATTTCCTATTGCAGCCCAAAATTCAATTGAAACAGTCTGTAAGTTAGCAAGTCATGGGATGTGGATCTTTCTCCAGTTGACTTGGTGCTATGTTTGGAGGGGAAACCAATGGTCGGGGCTTCCCTCCGTTTTTCTGAACGTGGCAGGCCTCCCAGGCGTGAGCTGAAGCAGCTGGAGGGATGGAGGGACCACCATATGATGCCCTCGCATCAAACATGGTTTGCTGGACAATTCCCCATTTATAATATTATACAATATTATGGAATACATTATATGTTTTATATATATATTTATATGTAATATAATATATATATATACATGATTTTCTCTTTTTACTCGCCATAATCATTTATAAGGGATTTTCCATTGCCATGTTTGATGACCAGAGGCAAATATGCCATCAAATTGCCATTGAAATGGGAACATCATGATTTGGAATAAACCTTGAATGTCGAAGTGCATTCCAGACATGTCAGCTACCCCAAAGAAAAGCAAACTACGTCTTGCAATCAAAAGTTACTAACAGGATTCCACTTCCAAAGGCAAGCACCCGATACACAGACAGCACCCTTGGGAATGGCAAAGTACAGCAAACTCGGTACACAAGGTTGAGAAGTGACCGGTTGCAGAAGGGTGGGTCAAGCCAAGCCCTCTGGCAACCATCAAAAATTGGGCGATTAATAGCTGGCAGGCACCCTTCCATTGAGACCACATTTATGGATTTGTCAGGGGATGTGCGAAACCGCCCAGCACGAAAGGTCACCGGCCCCCGTGCAGGCTGCTGCACAAGCAGCAGCACAGGCGCAGGCAGGCTATAGATTCAATGACCTGGGTTTTCGATGCCAAGATTTGACAAAATTGTGGACCTCCAAAATTGAATTCATTAACATTAACATGAATTATGGAAACTATGATTCTAAATGATTCTAACATATTCTAACATATAATGGCTTCGGACCAGTGAGAATGAGGGATGGTCGGTCTACACCATGAAATTCAAGTCTCATGTCCTACTGTACCCATGATGCAAGACGTCATCCATGCTGGGCATCGCCACTTGTTCCAGCAAAAAACAGAATGTAGTTATGGATGACGCAAACAATCATGGTGAAGTTTGCAACAGCTCCTTTCTTGGAAATATATATATATATATATTGGACAAGAAGACGCGGGATACTCCTGTCAACATTTGCAACCCACTGGAGCAGCTTGGGTCCGCTGCCGTGCCGATCATGCACCCCCCAAAGGCATTGGTCATATCAGGACTACGGTCACCATCAGCGAAGGTTTGCAACTTCCTGTAAAACCAGGTGTGACTAAGGCATGATATGATCATTCCCAATTACATGTTTTATGGATCATCATAATATATCATAATATATCATAATCCTTATGATGATCATCTTAATTCCCATCATAAGAGCATATAGTCAACGGCAGATGATAATAGATGGGTATCATCATCATAGATCGTCAAACATGATAGATCATGAGAAGAGATTTAATAGATCGTCTTGGTGGGTATATTGCCATGGCATTTACAATCCCATGATTTATTGCCATCTGGTTATTTAGCAGTTTGCCATGGAAAATCACCAAAATATTAATAGGTAAGCCATCTATTTCTATGGGCCATCTATACCATGGCTGGGCCATTTCCCATGGCGAACTGTTAAATCCCATAGGATCCATGTATGCTATATATGGTAACATTTACCATCAATATACCCCAAATGTTAGCATATATACCATACATGGATCCTATGGGAATAACCAGAGGGTATTGCCATCGTAAAATCCCCATGGATCCCATGGCATCGGCCTGACACCGAGGCGCAGGCCGCCCAGGCGGACGAGGCCGTGCGCCAGACGCGCGAGGCGGAGGAGCTGCGGAAGCAGCGCCTTGGATGCCGAAAGGAGTTCCGGTTGGTCGGTTGCCATGGAGAAATAATGATTTTATGGTGGTTGAAGGGGATTTCATGGTGGTTTTAAATGGTTTTAATGGGATTTCATGTGATTGAGCAGGATTGTTCCAGTGTTATTCCATTGTTGATGTGATTTTCATGTTTTGTCAATGGGAGTTCATAGGATTAAACAGTTGTTTTTAATGGGATTTTATGGGGATTTGAATGATCTGCAGGGTCTTGCTGGGATTTTAATTGGGATGTTCCTTGGATTCAAAGGGATTTGAAATGATCGGTTTGTAGTGGGGTTTAATGGGAGCTAATGGGATTCTATGGAGATACAGCCTGTATGCTCCATGTCTGGTATTTTTGGCAACAACACTGGCTGTTTTATGGTGTAAGGATGTGTAAGGTATCCGAGATTTTGGACCTGCTCTTGTACTGGAAATCAGCTGGCCAAATGGGGGTTTCTTGAAATAGGGGATCCCCAAAACCGTAGACACTAATAGACTAAAATGGTGCAATTTTGGATGATTTGGGGGTACCCAAATTGGGAAACCTCCGAATGCATTCAAACATTGTTGAGCACTCCTTAAGCACCTTCAACTGGCACTGTGACATGGGTAAATACTATAAATACCCATACCCGTCGGTGACATATGGCCGGGACAACTTTCTGAGGATCGCGGAACACACCGAAAAGCTGGAGGTGCGCAGATTGTTGGGGGCATTCGGCCAACTGAGTCCAAAGACCCGATATGTTGATGGAAAGACGTGAGAGAAACTATTGCTGTTTAGCTTGAGGGAATAGTCACATGGCATCGAAAAAACCATCTATCCCATTCAGCAAGAGTTTGACATCAGGGTCGGAATTGAGCACCTAAATAGGTGACTTCGGAATTTGGACCCATTCACTTTCTTGATCCATGTCTGGAAAGTGAATTTCATGTCTGGATGGGACATATATAATCATAATATATATATATACAGAACGAACGGAAGCGAAAGTGAGACTTTTCCTCCAGTGAACATGGCATTGAAACACATTTTAATGGCCATTGCAGGAACCTAAATTGGAGGTACCTACCATATATAAGGCTTATATAAGTCTTATTTTTCAGGGAATATCCCCACAAAATATGGTCTTATATAGTCCACTACCTCCATTTTAGGATCCTGAATTTCCCATTGAACATTCGATTCATCGAAGACCTATCCGAAATGGGGGATTGCCGGAGGGTAGTCATTGACCATGATGAACCACCAACCATTGAGGCTTCAATGAGTGATCCAGCAACCATTCAATCATCATTAACCATGATTAATCACCATGAAACCACATTAAAACCATGATGAATCACCATTAAAGCACATTAAACCACCATTGATTCGTTGCAGTTCTAGAGTCAGTTTTTTCGCCACAGGCAGTGCAAGGCTCCTGCCACGAGGCGGCGTGAATTTGAAACGCTCACGGCCGCATGGTGAAACATGGTCGATTTAGAAAGAATCAATAGCCTCTGGTAATTTAACATAGCTATTGAAAATGGCCATTAATAGTGAGTTTTCCCATTAAAAATGGTGATTTTTGATAGCTATGTTAGTTTACCAGAGGGTACTGTAGTTGATAGTTGGACCGAAAGAATCATTCATTTAGTGAAAATATATAACCTATATATTTTTTTAAAATACCAACTCATTGGTTCTTCAAAAGACAGAAGTTGATAGTTGGTAGATTTAGACAGAATCCTCAGTGATAAATTATGATAAATTGATGTTGCTAAACTTGAGATACGTTGATAGTTTGCACAAACAACATAATTTAGCAATACCATCTGGTAGATGAACATAGACCCTGAAAATGACCAGTTTTTGGTGAACGCATGTGGAAACCAATGTTCCAAGCCCCTGTTTGGCAGGTTCTATGTTCATTTACCGGAGGGTAAATTAAACCTATTTCTATCTCGTCTTTGGGAAATTCCCAGAATGGGTATGGGTCAAAAGTCAAAATTGAAGACTCGGTAGGATCGTAAATCGTCTCATTTTGGTGTACCCAATTCTGCCCCGTACTACTGTACTCATATTTTTTTCGGGGTGGACATATGTGAAATGTCAGGTTCTATGTCCAAGTGTGCGCATGTACTATCCCCAACCTTCCAGTTGCCTTTGAGATACGTAACCGAGGTCATTTTACCAGCCATGATGTTTGTGTTGGCACCCATCTGACAGGTAAGTATTTTTTGAGATATATAGATAACGCATGATAACGCCGAAAAAGATAGAAACGTCAAGTCCTTTTACAATAGTGATACATTGAACCTGTTCTATGCTTTTCTATTGTTTTTCGTATATCAAAGTAGCAAACCTCCTCCAGGCCAAGCAGGCTGCAGAGAAGTACAAGGCGCAACGGAACAGTTTTTTTTTCGTTTCTTTTTTGGATGGAGTTGGTATCGGCGAAGCCATGAAAACATGTCAGGATCTTGCTTAATGTCTGTTTTTTTTGACTCTTGGCGGATGTTGCAAAAACAGTAAAACAGTAAACGTCAGTCAGGACACTTCGGGATTGGATATCGGATGCTTTCCGGAATTTTAAGGGATCCAGGGGTATCCGGGTATCCACTATCCAAGTTTGCGGGAGAATTATGAAACGAGGTGACAAAAACTGGGATCCCTGTAGCGGAAACAATAGAGACGATGGGTTTATTTCAGGTTTTGGGAGGTATTTTTCACCGTCTCACAGGGTCCGAACCGATCTTGGCTGTGGGCACTTCCAAGTGATAGTCGTTTGAGCGTCACCCTTCCACCACCATATAGGGTTGTAAATAAGCAACTTGGAGTGATGACATGATATCACCCCAATTCAAGCGGGCTAAGTGTTTGGTAAGCGGGTGCCAACCCCTCATGACTGGGATAAATATATATATAATTATATATATATATATATATTATATTATATATATATTATATTATATATATATACATATAACCCATATATATATATATATATATATGGGATATATCGCAGGACATCTAACCACTTGGCTAGTGGTAACATTCAAGCGGGCCATGTGGCCTTCGGGGGAGCAGCACAGGAAGAGACCACCAAAGCCATCGAATCAGTGAGAGATGATGCGCTAGGCCGGTGTTGGGTTACAGGACACTGGCAGCAGTTCGGGGGCATTTTTGCCCATGGAGGACTATCATGTTCCTGTCAAACATTAAATGCTAGGACATGAATTGGTGGCCTGATAACTAAAATTAGCCGTGGAATCTAGCATTTGAAGTTTGAAACTCCCAGTTTCTTAGATTTTCCACAGGAAAAAGGTCTTAAGATGTGTGATTATGTGAAGCAATAAAGCCAGATGTGATCACATGTGAATATTTGTTTCACTTGCAGTGTCATTGCATGTTTGTTATTGTGGTCGTAGCACCATCGAATTCGATTGTCAACAGAGTTGCTGCAAGTGCTGGAAAGGATCCATTGGAAGTTAGGGGCCTTTCTGTCGTTGCAGTCTACTTGGATGCGCATCCCACTTAGCAACTTGGTAGTGGTCAATAGTCATGGTTCTAGGTTAGTTATGTTCGGGATATCGCCAGGTCCCCAGTGATATAGTATGGTGTATATATATATATATATATCATATATACATATTGTATAGAAATATACGGGCCAACCACAGTGTTTCATCCAGGTTTGGTTCCAAGCACCAGGTGCGGTGGCCAGTGAAAGCAAGGAGGCAGTGGCGGCTCTGGAGACAAAGTTTGGCGAGGCTGGTGACGCGCAATTCCTGATGAATGGAGGTTTTTCGCTGGGAACACATGTGAACATCATCGAACTTAATGGTGATATGGTGGATATTTTATATATATATATATATGTATGTATATATATATATGTGGTAGGTCCTCTGGGACCTCTGGGAATATCACATTTGCTTACCCTGGACAGACATCATAGGTAAGTCATCGCACTCAATGGACCGTGGCTTCCGTATGTCAAATGACTGGAGGGTGCAAGTTTTTTGACATCTGACTGGGGATTATAAGTTGTGATTTACCTATGATATATTATGATATATTATGATACCTATTATGATATATTATGACTGGGGATTATTATGATATATTATGATACCTATTGTTTTTACTTCTATTTGTAAGTTGTAAATGCTGCTGGCCGGGTGTTCCTGTAGGATATTTGAAACATATTGAAACCCAGATATATGGGTGAACTAATAATGTCGAATTCGAGGGATGCATTGCGAAGCAGTTCATGGTCGGAAGACGCGACTATTTTGAAGGTTTCAGGGAGTTTCCCTCAAAAAAAATAATCAGCCGTCTATTTGAGTCTTGTATTCTTGAGATTTGGAATCCCGAAGATGACCTTGATAATAATTGTACGCTGCAAGTCCCAATTATCACTTTTTTAGTGTATACTCATACTATCTCATACTCTCATCAAATTTCAATACCGGCCCAAATAATCGTACTATCTCGTACTATGATTACCCTCTGGTAAAGTAACATAACTATTGAAAATCACCATTTTTAATGGGAAAATCCGCTATAAATGGCAATTTTCAATAGCTACGTTAAATTTACCAGAGGGTATGTATTGTGTATTGCCTTTCCATCTCGCTGCAATCCAGAAAACGCTGCGTTCACGGGCAATCTTTGGAAAAATATGTCGGATCAAAGTCTGGTACACATGTTTTCACATCAAAATAACGGTTTTTTTGGCCACCTAGCTATAGTCTATATCTATCCCATAGGATCCATGTATGGTATATATGCTAACATTTGGGGTATATTGATGGTAAATGTTACCATATATAGCATACATGGATCCTATGGGTATTATACCAAATCTATACCCACTATATCTATACCTCAAAAAGTCTGGTATATCCTAGCATAGTCTGGGGTCATCCCCAGGCATGATACTTTGCTACTCATCCCACTCAAGGCCACCAGCCATAGTGGCCGACTGCCAAGTTCATCGGGCAGGCCACAAGAGCACAAAACGAGATGAAAGACAAACTGGAGCAGTCGCTTGGAAAAGAAACGATGAAAAGATGGGGATAGAATGGGATAGATGGGGGGGTTCCTAAGTCATGGGGGTACCCTCTGGTAAACTAAGATAGCTATGGAACATCACCATTGATAATGGGTAAATCAATGTAAATCAACTATAAATAGGCCATTTTCGATAGTTATGTCAAAGTACCAGAGGGTACATCAGATCATTCAAGTCATGGATGACCATGGCTTAGTATTAAAACCCATTGCCACTTGGGGAATTTTCATGAATTTACCATTTTAAGAAACCCCTAGATGATGAAAGATCGAACGATCTGAAGATATGGCTTGGGTCAATGTCCCAATAAAATTATATGCCTCATGACAAGTTGGGGGCGTTCCACAAAGAATTTTTCGCACCTGGGAAAGAACAACTAAATTGCGACCATTGCATTTTTTAACATGTTTTAACCATGAAGGGCCTGATTGGGAAACCAGAATTTTGAAGGTAAACCTTGGTTTGGTATTACAATTGTATATAGTACTAGCAGATTAGAAATGGTACTTTATGGTGATATTTGAGCTACAAATGCGGGAATGAGTGCACGCATTGATCATATCATGCGAAAACCTAAGAGGAATCTGACCATTTGTAGATTGATTTCCAAGGAAAACCATGGGGTTTCCACATATCGGGTAGATGGTAGCTGGCCCCCTTCACCTTTTGTGATGGCTCCCAGGCTGCAAAAATCCGACGAAGATTTCATGCAGGCGCGGTAGAATGTAGTTATGTGACAAATTGCATAGTGGCATGTGGGAACCTCTAAAAACATCTAAAAACGAGGTGCCTGAAATCTCATGGTTGATGATGCCTTTCAATCATTTTTGGATTTTCAGCCAACCTCCATTATCTGGACAAATTCATGTCTTCGGACACTGTCAAAGAGTGGCACGGCGATCAAGAAGATGCATCGTCAGGGATGTCGCCCCAAATGCCAGAGATGAAGTGAACATCTTGAGGATGGCACATCCCATTTCCAGTTTTTGTTCCACTTGATCAGTTAATCCCATTTTTTGAGACAAGAAGATAAGTTGATATGAGTTGATCCCATTTTTTTGAGACAAGAATGAGAAGAATGAATTATATTTTATAATTAATATTAATTAATTACTTACTTGGACCATCTTGGACCTCCAAGGCACAGTTCATGACGCAACACCCTTCCGGAGGATTTTTATTGAAGAATATTCCTTTCAGGTCAGGGGTTTGACTACATACTAATGAGGGCATGGGAAGGTGTATACGGCATTAATAAACCCAACTGCATTCCCAAGTACTAATAGGTTGAGTTCCCCTAAAATAGCATAGACCCTGCCAAATAGGGGGTTGGAAGATTTACTTCCCACTAAAGAGATCCATATAACAAGGGTCTTTTTCAGGGACTATTAAAGATTTGTTGGAGAGGTCTCGGCCCAAATCCTACCAGCTGGTGGACCTGTGTCAGCTGAAGTTTGGGAGCTTGTTTCACACCTGCCATGGAACCCCCCGGGGTCTTTGTGTTCGGTTCACCTATCTGGCTTTGTTGCATCCCTCAGCGGGGTGGTGCTGATTCCTTTGGCGGACCTTCGGTCATTGCATACTACCCAGATCTTTCCGTCATTGTCCTGCTCGACCACCTGAACTCCAACTCCAAGGGCTTGGTCATCATACTGGATTATTGCACTTCCTTGTGCACAGAGACGGTTTCCGAAGAGAAGTTCATGAAAGGCCTCGTCAGCTTGGAGCTTAGAGGTGCTTTCTTTATTGATTTCTTTCCTTTGGTGCAGGCTCCGGCCATCTCTGTTGCCAAGAATTTTTCTGGTTATGACCGCTTGCTTGATGGAGGGCCACTCCGGATGGAAAGCGATGAATTTGGGTCTTGCTTTGCTCAGCAAAACTTGCTGTTGACCGACGCCATGTTGACAAACTTCGTTGTGATGGGTTTCTTTTGCCTGCTTCAAAGATCGCATGCTTGGGCTTGGACTCATGAACCTTTCCTTTCCCGGATTGACAACGGATCCTTGATCACATCAGTTTGCAGCTGACATATAAGTGCACCGGATTCATGGCAGTGCCGTTCATTGCATTCAATCTGTGCAACCTATGGCGACCTTGCCGAGCGAGACCTGAGCCTGCGGGGCCGCACTGTCGTGGTGTTTTTCCCCTCCTTGCTTTTTGTTTGAGTTAGTCCGTCCCTGCCAGTACACGCCTGGAAGAAGTATTTTGGAACCTTCTAGCATTCCGGGAGCCCAAGGCTCTAACCGCTTGAAGGCTTCCACGCAGTTAATGCCTGTCAGCAGTTTGTACAATAGCCATGGACGGTGGCCAAGGGCAAACTCCCTTGGCCACCTTTGAGGTGAGTGCACTACAGGCTGTTCAACGGCCGACCGTGTCGGCTTGACCTGACTTTGGCCGCGCTGCTCTGCTGCCGCCGAGCACGCGGTCGCCAAGCACGTCCGAGCTAAAGATTTGTTGGAGGAAATACTGTATTCCTCATTATCATATGGTACCATAAAATCACACTGGCCAAGTACTTACTTTATAACAGCTCTCTTGAATAACTTATGGCGCTTTGTTCCTGCCTGTGGGTGTGCAAGAACAGAAATGCATAGCAGCTGACAAACCAATCCGGTTTGGATTTGGCGGCTGATCAAGTGACATTCCGAATGTCACTTGATCAGTCGCCAAATCCAAGTGTACAGGTCACTTGGAGCTATCACGTCTCTTCTTTTAGCAAAGAACTTTGGAAAAAGGTAGGCCAGAACTCCAGGACATTTTGTGTATGATCCACATTTTGCTTGCATGATCTTGCATGTATAACCACCCTAGCGATTGAGATGAACCTTGGCAGCTTTGGCTAACTGGCCAGCATAGCACTCTGAAACTTCTCCGATGCATTCTCCAAATTGCTATATTTCACGCGGCAAGATTCAACGTTGGCAGAGCAATGCATACGCAGCATCATAGCATTGTCATATCATATCTTATCTTCATATAATTCGTATATTCTCAATCCACCCTGGCGACTGCGCTATAGCACCAGCCTTTGGATTTGGCCTCGCGTCCTGATGACACCCATGCTGACCTTCAGTGTGGAGTGCCGGGAGACGAAGCCTGGAGAGGCCGTGTACATCGTGGGCTCCGTCCCGGAGCTTGGCAGCTGGTGCATCGCACAAGGCGTTTTTTGAAGCAGTGGTCAGAAACGCCTTGCTAATTGCTACACGCATGGATAGTCATGGATGGAGAGAAGTTGGTCTTTGCTGGCTTCATAATATCCTTGTAATTCTAGTGCAGGCTTGCGATGCACTACGACGGCTGATATGTTTCCGGTATGGACGTCGCCGGAAGTGGCGGTAAACGCCGCAGAAAACATAGAATCTCAGCAAACTCATTGGACACATATGGAAACATAAGATATTTGACACCTGAAGCCTGCAGTATGCAACACCTCCAATCCAAAATTTGATAAATTTCCTTACCAGATTGTATAGATTATGACTTTTTGACCCCCTTTATGTCAATGGCACTCAATGGGGCATAGACAGAGCCTGCTCGACCCAACGCTCCTTGGCTTTACGATGGTGCCCAGGAATTAAAGTTGGTCATCGCTACGGAAGAAGACGCCCCTTTCCCTGTATGGGAAAGCGGCGCAAACAAAACCATGCAGCTGCCGCGTAGCCAACAGGTCACGGCGCGAGCCACCTTTTCTACAAAGGACAGCTGGCAGAGTGGCCCACAAATGGCATGTTTGACATTGTTTCACGACATTTTTGGTAGTTTTGGATTCAACCGAAGGGGCAAAAAGATCGGAATCCCGACTTGCTTCACGATTCAAATTTGATGCCGTTTAATTTCTTGTTCATTTTATTGATGCTCGGTCCTTCCGAACAACTTGAAGGAGATCAGTTTGGAGGTCGCAAAGCTTCCCACTTTGCTGGAGAACCCAGCGCAGGCAACGTCTGGCAGAAGTGACGTTGCAGATGGCTCCATGCCACGGCTCTTCCCGTTAGAACTACTGTAGTTATAACAGAAAAAGGCCCCTTGCATAAAGGCACAGAAAGATTTACTGGGTAGAAGTGAAGAATGAGGCCTGGAAGTGAAAGGTCAGGGAGTCAGATACTCACCAAAAGAAAACGGAATAGTTGACTAATAGCACAGGCTTTTAGAGAAAAAACACCAGAAGGACGTCATCCAACTTCTGCGATGTTTCTGCATTATGTACCCGCACAGGTCCTTCAAACAAAGCACATACAAGGCCCAAGTTGACTCCGAAGTGTTGAAATTCTGTGGGCGCGAACTAGTTACGAACATGTTGAAGAACCAGTTTGGGATGTTAGGGGATATTCACAAACACAAACCCTTTTGATGTGGGTCCGAAAAAGTGATGGTCGAGTCGATAATCCAGAAGATTCGCAAAGTCTCGTGCGTTTCTTTGCACGCTCTGCATGCAATTCCTAGCAGCAGGACTGCCGGACGTTGGATACGAAATCGGATGGTGGAGTTTCATGGTATTTGCAAATGAATTTCTTGAGAGCGGTGCCCCAAGGCCAAGGAGTTTTAAGCCCGGCGCAGCCATGTGCAAGGACTTGGACTTAGTCTAGTCTATGTCGGACCTGGCTTTTGAGAGATTCACCCGATCAAAGCTTTCTGTGTGAGGGCAGATTATAGTTTCAGCAGTCCCGAGGGATCAAGCAGTGCAACCAGAGACTGTGGGAGCCTCAGGGAATGATCAAAAGGTCTCCGGCCCATCCCTGCCCAAGTCGGGGGCAGTGGCAATGTTTTTCCGCTGTCTCTTTCGTCCGTTCGTAGCAGGTTCGAATGTTTTTCCTTGTTAGAAGATTGCGTTCCACGTTACGTGCTTTGCCAGGGAAAAATATTCTTGAGAGAATCAAGTGCCCTGCTACCACGCAGCCCTGTAGGTGTAATATTCATGTATTGGATGTTATTGGAGTGTGGTACCCAAAAGAGAGCGTGCAACTAACCAAGAGGTTTTGAGAAAGGATGCATGATATGGTCAGAAGGCAACAACAATGAGCAAGGGCATGAGCACAACTCGTGGCACAACTCGTGGCTCCATGTCTTGAGATGTCTTGAGGCGGCACAAGTTGCGATCACCTCAAGAGAATGCATCGAGCATCGGCATACATGTTTCACGCGCTTGTGATTTAAAAAACTGATGTCCACGATCTCACAGAAAATGCATTGAGATATGGTGAGATCAAGGAATTGACTTAAACGAAAGTTCCAAAGTATTGCAAAACTGAGAAAGGAGACTAAGGAGACACATGAAGGAGATGCATTGTCTCATATTGGCCCCCAAGTGGAAATGCGTATGACCCTGTTCAAGTGTGAGCGAGTCTGCGAGATTTTGCATGTGGGCCATGGGAGCTACTCGACTGCTTGATCATCCAGTGCCACTTGTCAGGTCTTCCCGTCCTCGGTGATGGATGTGGGTATCTGAGATCGGGCAAACTAAGAGAAGAACTCTGCACATGTTTCTATCTTTTCATTTCGTCAGTGACAACTGTCATCACAACAGCATGCAGATCAAAGTGGACAATGTAGTGAGCTTGTAGACACACGATTGCTTTTGTATCTTTTGTCTGTTGCCCGCACTCATGCCCTGTGATTTTTTAAAGAGATGTTATGAGGACCTAAGGGTTTTGCATCTGAAATACTGCTGTGCCCTTCTGTGTCGAGGCCATTTTGGGCATCAACAGGGACAGGCAGCTGATGGCGATAAAACGCAAACAGGCGCTCTCCTTTGCTCTGAGCGTCGGTTGTGAAGTGTTATGGGCCTTAAGATGTGGGTAACAATATTGAGTTCTGCGAAAATCTGAACAAGATACGGAATGGATCGGAATAGGCTAGGTTACGATACCTTTCTTGATTTTTCAACTTCAACTGCTTGTGCGCAGAGGCTACACTCTGACCAGGGTCATGGGACATCTCTGTGAATTGTTGGGCTTTGGCCTCCATATGTGGCGTTGTTTCGCTCGGGTTTCTTCGCATCTCCTTGATTCTCCTTGCGTATATGGATTTGGGGCCTAGAGACCCGAGACAACCGGGTAAGCGCCAGGGCCAGCAGCCACAGGAACCAAAATACAGATATCTCAGATATCACATGATGTCACTTATCACATATTTGTCTGAAGATGTACTTGTGCTTTCCTTGGTCTCATTCTCATCAATACCATCAGGGTGTGATGTGTGCTTGGCCCCCTGAATTGGCGTCGCTATAAGTTTTCCGCCCAAAACCGCCATACCTCATTCCCCAGCCAAACTGGAGGCCTGCCGCCGGCTTCAGAGGTGCAGACTCTTTGGGCGGGCGCAGCAGCAGTCAACTGCTGTCTTGTTTTGCTGTGTTTTCTGTCTCGGAACGACACACGCTACTGTAGCATCACTGTCGCTGTGTATATATTAAAATAAAAATTGATGAAATCTCGACCTGGCCGGGCTGTTGGAAGTTGGAAACTGAGTTCGTTCAGGGAATTGGGCTCCAGGTGTTGGAGAAGGTGCTTCAGTGAGCAGCAGAAATTGCTTTCACTTTTGATAAAAGCTGGTGCCTCAGTTTGCAGCACTGCAGACATCGAAACTTGCCGAGTTGAAGCAATATAGGTTACACTGATTTGGCTGACAGAATTATGATGTACCTTGATAAGTACATTGATGCATTGGTATAGCATGATATAGCATGATTTACCATGCTTTGGATGATGGAGAATAAAGCAGATGGTCGGATGGCAGCCACAGTTTCCGCACTTCATCACAGTTCTTAAAATGCCTGGGCAGGAATTGATGGAAGAGCGGCTGGGGGCTGCAATTCAGGTGGGTCCGTGTGATATCACTCTCCTGGGATGTGCAGCGCATTGTGAAAACTCGTTTGTAAAAATTGGCAAACTCTATTTTTGTGTATTGTCGTTGGTGTTCAAGAGAAGGCCCTGCAACATCCTGTGGCCGTTTCGACATGTTTCAAGACTTAGATTCGTTTTTTCTTTCCGGTGAACAAGACCTAGCTGCAAGACTTGCATTGCGCTATCTCAGACTTTCAACTTCCAATGGGTTTCACCTATACACCTTGAGGGCCAGTCGGATCCATTGAAGCTTGTAATGCTCCTTGTGATGCTCTTGCGACAGGTTCAGACGTTGTGGAAATGGCTGAAGCGGACAAAGCAGGCTACAAAGCAGACTGCAAAGCAGGCCGCCACAGGTTTGGAGGCTCCTCCGGTGTTTGCCGGGAAGCATTGCTAGGCGTGGTCAGTCCCTGTCCATTTTGAAGAACTAGATACAGGCAGAAATGAAATAGTTTGAGGGCCGAAGCATTTGTATCCGTAAAGTATTTTACATGCAAGACATGCAAAAGATGCCAAAAAAACATGTTGATCCCTTGCTGGCCTCAAAAGACATCAGGGCCCCAGTGCCATTGTAACGAAATTCAGTGCTGCATGTCCCACAGCCACTGGCAACCAGTCGCTGTGCAGAGGTAAGTCTCACCGGATGCAGCCTGGTACTGGCACTGTCAAAAAGCACCGGATTTTCGGGAGAGACCACGGGTATATCGGCATGTCCAGATCTAGCCACAACTACCAATAAATCATCAGTACCCGTTAGAAAACCCAACTTCACTCATAAGTAGGTCATATTTTTAGATATGATTAACTCATCATTTTTCTTGGGCTCTCCCCATTTTGCACACCCCCAACTCCTGGCGTCCCTTGTTACTTTGAGGCCTTGAGCAGCGAAGAGCAGCGCGCCCGCCGTGCAGAAGAGGCCCTGCAGGCGCAGTGGTTGATGATCATTCTGAGGATCTATGGCACTATGGATGCAGGAAATATTCCATGGAAACCTATGGTTATTCTGGAACAATCTATGGTTGGGGCCTCCAAAAATATCCAAAAAATATGGAACCTAGACAATCTAATTATTGCTCTTGATAGAAGGTATTTCAGCTATGTTGATGTGAGCAGGATCTCTCTTAATCGGTTTTCTCCGCACCCTGGATGTTTTCTTGAGAGACGGTTCTGTTTCTTCTTTGTGGGTAAGGCTGAAACAAATCACAAATGTTTTTGATTTGGTTGGTTTAACACATATTCGAGATGACTGTTGACATCATTTGCGGAACATGGGGGTGTCAAGTCAAATCCTATAATTGTTGCTTTTCACATGTTTGGTTCACTGCTTAGCCATAATGCCATGGAAGCAATATTATTCCCATATGCTCCGTGGAATATGTACCAAACATGCTCATGTCATTCCGGGAATGTAGGGCAATTCCCCAGTCAGTCCATTATATTCTACTTTACAGTCATACACAGTAATAGTGTACATATAAGTGCATATTATATATATATAATTATTTTTATATGTACATATAATATATATGTACATATATAAACATATCTATATATATAATTATAATATTATAATATGTAGCAAACATGTTCCAATTCATCCCAGCCTTCCTACCCCCATGGTTCGTCACGCCAGGAACAGCTGGCTGAAGCGCAGAAGGTGAGTTCATCCTTAGCGGAGAAGGCGCGACATGGCAATGGATCCGTTGCGACATGGCTGGGGAAATCATCTTTAAAATGGACTTAATGGGTGATTCATGGTGTTTTTCCATTGCCATGTTTGATCACCAGAGGGTGATCATATGTAATAATTAGACATCAATAGATTCAATAGATGTTGATGAATCGTAATGGACGGGTCTATGTGTATACTTAGGAGGCATGCATGCACATATCTTCCATATGTGGCTGCGCATATCTTCCACCAGGTGGAGGAGACGCAGAAACACGCGGAGAAAGCGGAGGCTGAGGTGGCTGTTGAAGATGATGCCGGTCAGGTTTGGTCGATCTATTGAAAATTGGGGTAGTCACAAATCCCTGGTTTCATGATGTTTCATCATCTTTATCCATTTTCCCCCTCACTCAAAACTGATTTGGCCAGAAAATTTGGGGTTCTCCAAGGTAAACCCAACGTTCCGCAGCGCACAGGCCAAGGTGGCGCAAGAGTCCGTGGCCGAAGCCAAGGCCAAGAGCGAAGCGGAGAGCAAGGCGTGGCCTCTCCGAAGTTTTTCGGTTCGGACAAGCATGTGGCATGGGGGTTGAATCAGCAACAACAATAACAATGACCATATATATATATATACATTTATATCCGGTAAGTATGGGTAAGTAGGCAACCCCAGAGATGCTGAAGACGTTGGAGGACAGTCTGTTTTATTCGGATGATTATATAGTTCAGTATAATTAGGTGAAATGAGATTCCTTCAAGTCAATCACCCACCTGTAGTACACTGTAGTCAGGGCATAGCATACACCATTACACTGGCAATGGAAGCCATGCTGGTCCGACCCCAAATCCAACTGATAAGACTGTGGGTCATTTCATTACCATCCAGTAAATCAAATGTGGCAATGGGAAATGCCCTATACATGGAGGTTTTACAATGGGCTATATAGGAAAATCATCTAGAAATAGGGAATTGTCCATCGCAATTTTGAGTACCGGAGAGTATATAATTTGTTCCTTGTCTATCCTTTTCTTTCAACCAGAGATTTTCAGGTGCTAGGTTCGCTTGCCGGAGGGTATATGATTGGTACATGGGGATTTGATTGAACAATCTCAAAACCACCTCGACTCAAGGGGAGCCAACCATAACCAACCCCAAATGTTTTTATCTTGAGCTTATTTGTGAGCTACAATGGTGTGCCCAGATTCGTGGATGAAACAACTGATACTGTAATTTCCATGTTTGACGGTTTAATACATTTAAATACCATATTTGCTGAGTTGTTGTTTGTCGGCTCTGTCAAGGCAGCAGATCAGACCTTGGAAGAAGAACTCGCGAAGTTGAAGAAGGAATCCGCAGAGGCCTGCTGACGGAACGACGGGTGACTAAATTAAGTCTAAATGGAAAAGTCATCGAACCCTGAATTTAACAATGCATCTTTCTGGCAGCGGGGGAACTCATTTTTCTTGAAATTATTTTTGGGGTTCCAGGGCCATGTCGGGGTTGTATCAGTGTTGGATTTAAAAGGGCTGTTATACGAGTATTGTTCCTCTAAACCACTGCTCGGCTTTACCCCATTGACTTACTCCCACATAAATTGATAGTTGGCTAGATGTCCACCATTGGGCGGCCATATGTATTATATATAAATATGTGCATATACGCAAATGACGTCCACCTACGTATATATATATATAGCATATATATATATATATTATAAATTCTATGCCCCCTGTTAATTAAACATGGCTAACATGGCTTGCTGGTAAATTCCCCATTAGCTCGATGAATTTTCCATGTAGTTGGCTGGCGACTGATAGAACGCAGCCTACTTTTCTCACGTGTTCTTGCTCTGTCGATGGGGTGGGGTGGGGGGGTGGGGTGGGGTATTAACGTCATGTGCACAGTGCGTCGAACACGCTCTGCATTTCAAGTAACTTCTAACACGCTCTTGACGTTACGCTCTGCACTTCTTCACGTAACTTCTAGATGTTACGCTCTGCACTTCTTCGAGTAACTTCTACCACATGTACCCTCTGCACTTCTTCAAGTAACTTCTGACACGCTCTTGACGTTACGCTCTGCACTTCTTCACGTAACTTCTAGATGTTACGCTCTGCACTTCTTCGAGTAACTTCTACCACATGTACCCTCTGCACTTCTTTAAGTAACTTCTTACACGCTCTTGACGTTACGATCTGCTCTTCTTCAAGTAACTTCTTACACGCTCTTGATGTTACGCTTTGCACTTCTTCAAGTAACTTCTAACACGCTCTTGATGTTACGCTTTGCACTTCTTCAAGTAACTTCTAACACGCTCTTGATGTTACGCTTTGCACTTCTTCAAGTAACTTCTAACACGCTCTTGACGTTACGCTCTGCACTTCTTCAAGTAACTTCTAATACGGTCTTGATGTTATGTTTGATGTCACTAGAAAGTAACCAGTATTTTGACCATTATCATCAGCAATGTTTAGAATTTAAAACCATTCTCTGAACCATCAATTATATAACCACGATCAACCAGTATGAACCACCATGAAACCGCCATTGCACCACTAGACTATATTCACCATTTTTCTGGAGTTTCCACGGCTCATTCTTCCCCCAACCATTTCCCAGGAGAGTAAGGTGCAGCTGGAGAAACTGCAAAGTTTGGAGCAGCAGATCAAACAGCTGGAGGAGGCGGAGAAGAAGGTGCCAACGTCGATGGTTGGCCTGGGGAATGAGCAAACAGGGAAGATGTCTTCGATATTTTTTCGGGGTGTCCTTAAGCAAATCGTTCCAAGTCAAGATGGCTATATGTGGCGATTTCAGGGCTATTTGATGGGATAAAAGTGGTTTTAACCGCGGAAACATGCTGGATTTCACCATGACAAATCGTGATTTCACCATGAAACATGGAATTTTTTCACCATATTCCAACCTAAAACATAGGGATTATGTAATGATGGGGATTGACCCAGGTTTTGTTGATTACAGTAGTATATCATATCCCACTTCCATCCGTTTCCGATATGATCAGCTTGGATGTAACCCAGGTTTTCTGAAACAATCAGCGATATAGTTAGTAGTTGGATACTGATATGCCAATGGGAGGGACCGCTGATATCTATTAATACCCTGCGGTAATTTAACATAACTATAGAAATGGCCCATTTATAGTGGATTTACCTAGAGCAATGGTGATGTTCCATAGCTATGTTAAGTAACCAAAGGTAAACATCGGGAGTTTTAATGAGGATATCACATTCCCAATATATTTATTGATTGTCACATATCAGTTAACTACCTCCAACACATTTTTATTTGCTGTTGGATGTAATTCAATGATTGGTCGTTGTTGGAAACCCTCTGAAGGGGATATCATGGGATACAGTACGATGAGCCGTCAAATGATTCGATGTGATCAATCCAAGTGCTTGTGACTGGATCAGACATGACTATAGGATATTATAATGGTTGGTGGTTTGGAACATTTGGATTATTTTTCCATATATTGGGAATAATCATCCCAACTGACTTTCATATTTTTCAGAGGGTTAAAACCACCAACCAGTTATAGGTCTTTTTATGGCTAGGTCATGGCCAGCAACGAACGTCCACGGCCCATCGGGATACCATTAAACTTAAACCATACCCACGCTGGTCATTTGTGGGATGAAACCATACACTCTAGGGGCCATCGCACAGTTTTGACCCATACCCACCTTATCCCACCCTTCGTCCGGTATACACACAATTCTTCTATACAATACGTGTATTTAATTGTATATATATACACACACACACATTTTGCCATGCTTAAAAGCATGAGTTTGTAGTTCAAGGAAATTCTGCAGGGAACCACTTGAATATTTGAAAGGAAACATGCTGGTTTCAAGTCGATTTTCGCTTAGATTATTCCATTTCCCACCCCTAGAGGAGATGATAGTTCTCTAGACCTGCAATAATACGTATAGTGAAGGTCCAAAACCAAAACATGTGTTCAACATATCATAGTTATGTCCCAAATTTCCACCGATTGGATTCTTGATGGTGGGTGAAAAAAAACAGAGAATCTTATTTTTGTATATTTTTGTCGATCAGGAACGCATATCGACGCAAGAGCAATTTCTATTCCTTGGGAATTGGCTGGAATTTCCTGAAACCCCAAGAAATGCATTTTCTCCATGTATGGAACGTCTATCAACAAATCAACATTTATTGTACCTAAATGACATTAAATGGAGCCTTTATGGAGCCTTTTATGGTAAAATCAACATTTTATGATCCATACATAATAAATTGCATCCCTCGAAAATCGCCTAAATGGAGCCTTTGGCAGGCCGAGGCGGTGGCAATGGACAAGGATGCAGGAGTTCGGAAGGAACAGGAGCAACACAAGGTGGCCACTGTCGTGTCAGCTGTGTGATTTAAGGAAAAAATGGGGATCAGGATGAGTTGAAAAAGATCCAAAGAGACTATGGGTGTAATTTATATATATATATAATATTTTATGATTTGATTATATATTTACGATACTGTATGTATATGTATATATGTATATATATATAAGAGCGCGTTGATTTTTCAATCAAATAATGATTTCGTTATTTGTTTTGTTTGACATGTTTTTTCCCGTGAAATATAGGCCTTCACATCTTAAGACCCCTGACAATCGATGACCTGGCAGAATCGTAACGACCATTACTGGCCGACGTCGGCCCGATAAGACGTATATAACAACGAATGAGAAAAAACAACGATGTAGCCCTGATGCCCAAAGATGAGGCTATTACTACTACATACACTATATTATATACTAACTATAATGTATTATGTTGTTACACTACCGTATATTATATTATACTACCTCTTGTTGTTCGGTTCATTTTGGATTATGGACCAGCTATTTTTATGTGTTGACTATGACAAACTACATAAACTACATTAACTATTTTTTGTTGATTATGGATTATAGACCAATCCAGACCAATCCAATATGAGGATCGTCCCTGAACGTTTTCGTACGAAAAATCAGTGGCTGGTTAGAACTCCGGTAGGAACTCGTGGACACGGATGGGGCTTCAGTTACAACCACTTGTCAATTTCATGGAATAGATGATCTGATGGAGTGATCCATGATAAATGAGTGCTTTTAGATTTGCAACAGCTTCTTTAAAAGAAAACCAAATTAGCATCCTCTATACGGCCCAAATCATCAACATGTCCCACGATTCATGTTTCTGAACATGGGCAGAAACGTACTGTGTCCGACGAGAATCATGAGCTTCCCCTCAAAACACGCCAAACAATAAGCTACCTTCGTTCAAGATTCAACTCTCAGGAGAAATATCAGCTCTGAAATGCTTTTGGAACGGGGCCCGTTCCAACAGCCAATCTGGCCATGGCTTTCAGACTCAGGCTGACCTGGAAGATCTCAAGAAACGTTTGAAGGAAGCTGAGACCCAGGATGCCGAGCTCAAAAGGCACTGCGTTGCGCGTCTGTTGCCTCAAATCTGTGACGAATGCTGTCCTTTTTCAAAGCAGAAAAGATCGAGGATTCAAGAGGTTTGTTGTGTCTTCAAGTTATAACCCAGATCTCCAAGACTCTTAGATTGTATTTTATGACCAAAGTATGTGTATATACAACTAAATATATATATATATATATGATGTAACATCCTTTGTCCTCGGGGCGGCCCCAGCTTCGCTTTCCCTGTTCAGGGAAAGCAGCGAGCTGCGGGATCTCCAAGGTAAACAGCAGGAGGAGCAAAGCAAAGCGACACAGGAAGTGCAGCAGAGGCTCTGTCTGGGGCTGACAATCACCTGGGTTTGCTTAAGGTGATGTTGATGTTTTCATGGGAAATGCGGAACTGGGGATTGTTCCCTGGGAACAATCAATCTTCTATATTCCTCTACTATATTCTTCGATTCTCTTCTATTTTTGGGGGTGGGGGAAAGGACCTGAAGCAATTCCAAGCTAAAACAGGCAGGAAGCCGCGGGGGAGGAGCTGAAGTCGCTGCAGAAGAAGCTGGAGGACAGCCTGCAAGAAGAAATTGGCTGTTTCTCAGGAATTCTCCGGCAACATGGGGAGATACAGGCAGCAGAGATACAGGCAGCAAACCCATGCAACAACTGGATGCCACTTTTTTCCGAGTCTCAAACATATCATGAAAACATCTCTTTAAAAGCAAGGAGCTTTCCAGCATGAAGGATGCAGCAGCAAAAAGTGAGGAGTTGGTACAGAGCCATTTAGCTGCAAGTCCTCTGCTTTGATGGGTGAGAAGAGCATGGAGAATGGTTGGTACTGCCTCCATTTGCCGCCCCTGGCAGTAAATTTCTGATTTGCACTGTGTGCTTGAGAATGGTTGGAAACAGGCCCGGGAGTTATTTTGATTGAGGATCCCGCATAGACAAAGACGACAGGGGAGTGGAATGTGGCAAAAACCAGAAATCCATTTCTGGGAGAGTTGGAATTCTTTTGGGCACTCAGCCCAGGTTGCCAGACGGAGGTGACCATCTTGCAAGAAAAGTTGGACCAAGAGTGACTTGGCAAACCTGTGTTGAACAGTTTGCATGGAAAACCACACATGCCATGTATATGACGGATGACATTATATGACATTATCTGACATTATATGACTGTATATGTATATTTGTACGTGTATTAATATGTACGTGTATAGATGTACACACACTATATATTTTGTTGGATCATTTTCGGTAGCGAAGCATGCATTTTGTCATGCATATTAATCCCATTTCTTAGGTGACGCCAATGACTCGTTAGATGATTTTTATCCCAAATGAGCCAATTACAATAATGGAATAGTGACCCCCCCTGGCAAGAGGTCCAAACCTACAAATGAAAGTCATGCAGCTTAGGACTTGTCAAAATATGAACCATTGCAGACTAAGATTCCTGGGGACGAACATGGAACTTCAACTGTTGTTGAATCCCGGGACTCACCAGGAAAACATACCTGGCCCCCAACATGAACAGGGCCAGTATAAAGCCTGTATTTTCGTGTGTTTTCTCGGCTTATTTCAGGGAGAAGGGATTATTTTTGATTCCCACTTCGCGAGATAAAGGCGCTGCAGTTTTCAAACTTGAAACAGCCAAACGGCTTGCTGACTGTCATTTTGGAATAAGTTTTATGAAGGCATCTGAGGATATAAAAGCAAAGCTCTGACATGCCCTGTTGCGTTTGTTCATGGCATCAAAGTGGTGGATTTCTAGTTTGCCAGCAGATCCGCAACTCCAAAAGCGAGTTCAATTCTGAGTTCACAATTTCAAGACTTGAAACAAGTGGCGGTTTCAGCTATAAACATTTAACCATGTTCAACCATCGAATCCGGAGATGATCCACTTGACTTCAAAAGAACATCATGAAAACACAACTCCAGTATCTATACCACCATTATCCCTAAAATCCAGTTCCACCATGATCATCCAGTTCTAGCAAATGAGGTAACAAAACCCATGGTTTACCAGCCTATCCATCCCCAGCATGATCCCCATTCTCCCATCATTTTCCCATCCTTTTCCCTCGAAAAATTGGTGCTAAAATCTGCTACCCTCTGGTAAACTAATAACATAACTATGGAAAATCACAATTTTTAATGGGAAAATCCACTATAAATGGCCATTTTCAATAGCTATGTTAAATTACCAGACGGTAAAACGCCCCAGGGTGGGCACGGTGAAGTTGCGCATGGAGGGTGGCTTCAAGGCCTTGCTTCAGCGCCTCGAAGCTGAGAAGTGGCTGCGCGAGAATGTGGCACCCTGGCGGCCAGTGGCGCCTACTGGTGGTATCGACTGGGGACATATGGGGACTGGGAGACACCGGTGTCATTTTGATATGGCAGTGTGTCAAAACCAATAGTACCCCTTCTGTTCACATCAAAATAGCTGGGATTTATGGATGTGAATAACCCCCTAAAAATGGTATTAATAGGTATTGATCCATTTTGATATCATGATATATGAAGTGGATTCACATGGGATTATCCTCCATGAAAATTCGGAGATGATGATCCTCCATATCATCAAGAAACCGGTGCGTAAAATTCTGACCTTCATGTCCAAGGGTTTCCTGCAGATGTTGCATAAAACACATTGGCGAGGTGAGGTGAGGATGTTCTCCATTTCTAGACTGGATGTGGATCGAGTCTAGTCTAGCAAATGCTTAGTAGCTGGGGTATAAGATGAAGCACCTCGAAGGTAAGAGGCCATAATCCAGACTATGAGAATGAGGATATGGGAATTAGGATAAGGAGGGCAAAGTGGTGTCAATGTCATTTGGTTAAAATCGTGAAGTAGTCAACTTGGAGTTACAGAGCCCCTTGATGCCACTTGTAATTTGGTGAACAACTCGGCTGGCACTGGGAGCATCACATTGGACGAAAGTTTGGGGAGGAGATTGAGATGTTCTATTTGAATGATTGTGCTGTAGATTGTGTGCTATACTGTTTGCTACATGATGGAGATACGTGGTGTATAATTATATAATATGAATTACAGTAATATGATATATATATATATATGTGGATACTGGAAGCATGGATTGGATGATGAATTATCTCCGAACATATGCATTGCTCCGTTGCAACATGTTAACGGATTGATGGTTCCAGAAACGCGCGGAAGGGCAAACAAAACATGTGGCGGAAAGCATGATGACCAACACTGACTGAACGCTAAAGAGTATGTGCCCTCCTCCTGGTACTTGATGACAAGAATTAACGCTTGTTAGATGCAAGCCAGTTGTTGTGGATGCCCTCTTAGACTAGAACCTGCGGAATTCCATTTTCCTGCTGGTTCAGGTTGCCTCGAAACATGTCTCTGTGCCCTTGACCATAGCCTATTCCTGAAGTATCACTTTTCCACTTTACCCACTTAAAGGGGATATTTTTTGTACGGAATTAGTGATGGCTGTTGATACTGGGCTCGAGGACACCGTGGCTGATGGTGTGTCCAACTCCTTCCTACGGCTGCTGGACAAGTCCTCTGACAAGTTAAAGGAGCGCGTGGACAAGTTGGAGGCCCTTCGGACATGTCGAAGCTACAGGTGAAGGGTGGTGTTTTCCCAGTGCTGTTTGTTGGGTTATTAATGGTGTATAAGGTAGTTTATATAATCCCCTTGAAATATAGTTTAATATCATGTTAAATCCACCTGATTTCAACCCTAGTTATTGGATGAAATGGAGTTTTGAACCATCTTGGCTAACTGTGGGGCCCCACCCTGTGAAGGGTAGGTTCACGGTTTGAATTTCGAGATGTTCAAGCGCATTTGAGCGAGGAACCAGTGGGGAATGTTTCATACCCATCTAAAGCTGCACCTTTTTGGATATATTTGTTGTGCGATATCTGAGATAAGCCAAGTTTCATGCCGTTATTTTCAGTGATTTATCCAGGTATGCCATGGTGTGCCTTACAAAACTTGGGGGACCCAAACAGATCGACTGACACTCTTAATCACGGATCATCCAAGATATCACAGCCTACCAGTGCTGCCAATGAAGTAAACCCGTGGCTTTGTGTAAAAATAGGCTAGCCCCAAATATCCAGTGGCCACTTATGTTTTTCAATGTTTTTAACCAATTGCAATGTTGTTATATATATATATATTAATGTTGTTTTATGATAATATGTTATATGTATATATATATGTGTGTATATGTTGTTATTGGGGGGTCTACATGGCGCGCCGACACTACCGGAGCCATCAGGGTGTGGAATGAACATCGGCGACTTACTCGGTGGCTTGGCGCAGTTTTCGGAAGGGAGGCTTGGATCATCCATTCCATTTGGGTATACCGGGTATACTGTAGTCAATTGTTCATCCAGGGTGATCAAGTTTTATGTTCATCAATGAATAATATGTATATATAATATACTAGGTGTATTTAGGTGTACATGATGTGGACCGCATAAGAAAATACATTACATGGACCAATGATGACAAGTGAATTTCCACTATTTAAAATGAAAATCTATGAAAACGTACGTTCTCATCTTTTGGGAAAGCGAGTGCTCTTGGTGTTTTTTTGCTCAGCGGCAGGTTGCGGTTTCATCATTCAGCCATGGCATCTTCATTCAACTTGATGGGTTTTAATTTTTTAAAAATCCTGACTGGACTTGGGTTCCTTCAATTTGACTGCTAAACTATATATGCCACATATGCCAGCCTGCTAAGTCAGATTTAAGGCCGTGACGCAGGGAGGCATCGGCTTGTACATAAGCGAATGGGGCATTGCAGGGAGGCTCCCAGCTGCGTGTTGAACAGACAAATCAAGACCATCTGTATTGCGTCGACGTAGTCCTGAACAAGATGCAGAAATCCAACAAAAGTCAGAAAGTCAAAAACCGTGAAACCATGTATATATACATATATCAAAATTATTCAAAATTTAAATATATATATATGATATATGAGCATCTTTCGAACAATTAAACTAATTGAACTTCTACAGTCGGAATATTAATTTAAGACACCATCGGCCTGGTCAAACCGGAGGAAACATGAGGAAACCGCGTAGCTGGGAACAGAACATGGCCTAACTTGTACCATATCATATATGTAGCTGTCCTGATGGCAGACGAGAGGAAGGAGGGAATCTAGAATAGAGAAATGGCATGGGTAGAAACATATCTGCACTTTCCACTTTCCAGAAGGTCAGTTGGCCAGAAGGTATCAACAAGACACCTTGCTTTTACTTGAGATGCTGATTTAGCAGCAAAGGAACTCCCATTGATATTCTATCATCGGTTTCGATGTGTTTCCAATGTGCAAAACTCATGGCTCTTCAACATTTCACAAAGCTACGCCTGTTCCACTAAAATTATATCAAAGATAGCATGCCTTTGCTGAACTTCCAACTGTTTACATGTTGGCATCATAAGAATACAATAGCATCCACATATAGCATCATATAGCAAGTCATTTTATGCAATTTAACATCGTCTAATCAAACAGAGTCCGTTGGATTCAAACGACCCCAACAAAATTATTGATCCCAAAATTAAAACAAAGACTTGATTTGAATAGGTTCTCTAGGCCATCCTGAATGGTCTCTCTAGGCCATCGGAAAAATCTTCCATGTCCTTTAGGTGTTTCACCAGTTTCACATTGGCAAGAGGTTTCGGCTTAATCTGCCGAAGCCTTGCCATATTTTGAATCTAGAAGTTGACGTCCCACAGGCACCACGTGGCAACTGGTGGCGATTGCCACAGTCTGATTCGGTGGTTGGTTTTTCGATGTTTTTCGTGGCTGTGACCACCCTAAAAATATCCCAGGCCCGGAATCAGCGTGGCGCAGCCTCTGCTATTTGATGGGACATGTCACGTTTGTGGCATAAGTTCAATTGCAGACAGTATAATTAGATATAATTAGTATGTCAGGCTTTGGTAAATGTCCGATCTTGGAGGTTTTGAACATCTCTTTCAAGCATGGTATTTGTTGAATAGCATATCTCCAATAGTTGGGTGATATGAACGATGTTAAGATAGGGGAGCCCCTCAAGTTCCAACCAGACAGTCTCATATTGCCGTCTCGGCCCATTTTCTGCAGTAGGACGTTCCTGTTGAATCTCAACCCAACCACCGAAAGTTCAATGCCTACATGCCGTCCGTGCCGCGCCATTCAGACGAGTGGATTTAAAAGGATGTGCTGCATTTGACTGTTGCTCCTTGCAGGGCTGCAGGGCTGCGGACAGCAGGTTGTGAGAGTTCTATGAAAGTTGTAGGGGCGAATGCTAAATACAAAGACCATACTCCCACAACCCCCATACCATGTATGGCACATTTATTTATCAATATGTTACTATGTTCTGCTTCAACGTGGTGAACCACTTCACCTGCACATCGATCAGCACCATGGATGTTATGGGACTCTGATTTTTGTTCCATTTTTTGAAAATCAATGATGGGACCCCATTTTCATGGTTGTTTTCCATGAGACTTCCCAAATTCGAAATTCTGCCTGGCTTAGTGCCATGCTTAGATATTGCCAGAATTAGCCAAGTGGATAATGATTGTGGATGGTATATCCCAATCCCAATATATCCCAGTAATGAGGGATTATAACATGTTCTTACCCACGCACTAGCCACCTAGCTAGTTGAAGCATATCTAAGCATATGTGCCATCCTCAAAACATGGCTTGTGTTCCTATCAAAAGGGATTGTCATCCCGCCTTTTCAGAGGGGTAAATGCATCCATGTTAGAATTCCCAGTGGATGGATGGCCATAGCCCATGGTTTCCGATGTAACTTGACCATGGTGCCTCCAATTCCAGATGATCATTTACAGACCTTGAAATCAGCACTTTGGATCCACAATTTCCGGAGACTGAAATCCATGACGAAATATGACTAAATACGGTTAAACGCGTGTTGAATCCCAAGGTTTTTTCCATGAATCCCCTCATGTGTGGCCTTAGGCTTAGGCTGTCCCAGGCAAAAAATGCCGCGGACCGAGGTTCATGAGCACTGGTGGAGCTGCCACCAGACAGCAGATGATAGAATACTTAAGCCTCCTGAGGCGCGCTGTGTTTTTTTTATTTTCCGATGCGGAAGGCGACACGGCAGCTACTGTGCGTGCTGGGAAGGCATTGAAAAGGTGGAAAGTTCTCAACACACACATATAATCACATATATATATATATTATATATAATACATCATTATAAATAATATTAAATATAATCCAAAAATAAGATATGTTATCATATGTTGTTATGATATGTTATGCGGTGTATACCGTCACCAGAGACCCAGAGATGTTGATCGCTGTTGATCACCTGGACATGGATGATCCGTTTCTTGGTACTCTCTGCCACTTGATAACTAAGTTTCTATCTTGGATGGAATAGCACAGTATAATATACACACCTGTACATACGTAATTAATCATAATTACATACATATGTATGTAATTATATATATATATATAATATACACACGCACACACACCCCCTGTCTCGCCGTCGCCCGAAACGGCTGAAAACTGAGGGTTTTTGTTGATTTTTTTGAATCTTTCCCCCTGCGTTGTTTTTCAAAAACTTGTCCCGCAGGATTACACGCAGGAAACTTTTTCATCATCTCACTGGAGCCACTAAAGGCGTGCAGCTTTGAAGGCGTCCCTGTAGGTGACACTCTGACAAATCCAGCGGCGCAGTCCTTTCTGTACAGCCGAATGGAATCCAAAATTTGTTGAAGACCTGGCTTTCGATGCAACGCGGCTGCAGCACGGACCTGAACATTTTTCAGTTTTTTTTTGCATGTAATCGTTTGTTTGGTGCAGCCAAGTCGGTTCTCGGCTTTCTGATCACCAGCCGCTGCTTTGAGGAGCCTTTAGCTTTCCTTCGCAACTGGCTTTTTGCTAGTGGAAAACGTTCTCATGTCGTCAGGAATCTGGCACACTCTCAAAGCAAAGTCTCCGGGAATTCTCATTGCGCCTGAATTGGGAGCACAGTAACCTGATCTGTCCAGACCATTGTCCTGATTGAAACAAATGAGGTCCCCAGCGCGTATTGGCAAGACAGTTTCGGACAGCGGCCCCTATTTTGTCTTTGGCAAATTCATCTCCTCTGCAGATGCATCTGGAAGATTCTGGAAGTGCATTGGCATGAGATGCCATGCGATCTTCAAAAATATGAGCTCGTTGCACCATGGACACATGTGGTCGCGACATGTCGCGACGACGAAGCAGCATTGGTATTCTGTGGGGCTTCACTGTGTCGAGTCATTGGTATTCACGTCCATGGTGAGGACTATCGTCTTTGTGAAGCGGGGATAAACTTTCAGATGAAGGAGTCAAAGGACAAACATCAGCAACCATATCCTGATCATTTTCCTCTGCGGTTTCTTCCATCAGAGGCTGAATGTCATCTTTTTTGCAGCAACGTCCAAAGATAGGACATCATCTCTGGCAAAGGTCCACGTCGAATCAACCACAAATAAAAACCCGTCTGGCTCACACCTCTCCCAAGAAAGTGAGACCATTTGGCAGACAAATCATTCATTTTGCTTGCTAAGAAAGGTGGTGGAACCCCATTTGGCCAAGTTTTACAGTGACGCATCCACAGTGCGATGTAGTGTTGCTAAAAACAAATCAACTCCAAAGAAGTCGGACCATATAGATCCTCCCGTAAGATCGTCTTCACATCCTTGCGATTTGCATACGCAAGAGAAGTCCGAGGCATCAGGAGTACCTAGGCAGATACATGTGCTTCAGGCTTCAAGAGCGAAATCATGCTGCCACTCATATGAAGGCAACATATCTACGTGAAATAATCAAAAGTAACTTCGAAATCGTGATCCACAATGTTTTCATGAACCAAAGATCCACAGATGATCATGCCCACATTCGTTTGGACATGCCACCAAGAGCAAAAAGAACTTTACTTCGAGCGAACCCCACCATGACATTTCAAGACACATATTTTGACATATATTTTGATCGAAGGAAGTTTCGAAGGAAGTTTAGAAGTCAAACTTCCGACAATATGGACAGATGGAAAAGCAGAGGTGGGAAGAGTCAGAGGAGAAGAATTGTGAAGATAGGAAAAGAAAGAGTTAGAATATTTTTTTCCAGCCATATAAGGGCCCACTCGGGATCAATCCAGCCAGAGTGTCAGAAAGCTTCATCCAACATCTGGAGACGTTATCATTGATACGTTGAATTAGGACAGGTCAACATGCAGGAAATTGTGGACTTTGAGCAGTCATGTCAAGACGTCGAAGGAAGGCTTCCAATACAAAGCGACATGTTTCTTCTGAGTAGGATCCACTCGCCAGGATTAGACCGGGAACACTGGAGGAGAGAGGCCAATACTTTATCAGGGAACATGAACTTCTTTTGTAGATGATGCTAGCCACGCGATTGAACCCAAATTCGGACAAATGCAGGGATGATATTGCATGAATTGGGATATGATTTGCTGTCAAGAGTCTCACAACGAAAACTTGAAAAAGTCTAGCTAACTTACCAAGGCTAACTTACCAAGGGTTAGTTAGCTGTGAACCCACCCGGACTGCCAACCATGGTAGCAACAAAAACGCCGCACGCGCCTGTGCACGCTGAAATTTTGGCCTGCGCGCGACATAGGGGTAGACAAGAGCACGGCGTCGCAGTCCGTATACGGGGGAAATTCAAAAGCTCCAGATCATCGTGCGCGAAATTGTTCAGTTCGTGACATCAGAGTAGTGGCCAAATGAACTTGTAGCCCAACTGCCTGGGAAATCAGATCGCGAAAACAAGCCATTTAAACTCGGAGTTTCTCTTTGGATAAAGAGTCAGAAGAAAGAAGATGCAGGTGCGCGAAAAGGTAGCAAAGTCGTGAAACACTGCGTTTTTCCAATGATTTGTGGCACCGGAGGGTTGACATGTAGGCTCGCTAAAGCGGCGGGTCTGGAGAGATGAGCAATGAGAAATCCAACTCAAAATGTACAAAGCACGCCATTCTTGGGGCACTTTTGGAAGTTGAGATGTTGGAAAAGTGCACGCCGTTGTGGCGCGAAGCACATGTCGAAGTCAAAATGTTAAAAGCACCACATGTTCGGACCACTTTTGGATGTTTAGATGTCGTTTCGCGTGGCAGGCGCAAGGGATTGTGCACCTTGTTAAAGTGAGCAAAACGTGCTGGTTTTGTAGCAGTTTCAACAGCGTTGGCAGGCGTGGGAAATTTGAAGAGGATCTGCAAAGATGCATTTTCCGTGGCAGGCGGAATACAAGAGGCATGTTCACCAGAGATGTTACGAGGTCCGGGCGCTGATTTCCTGAGAGGGGTTGCATTTTCGAGCATCAGATCTTCAGGTTTGCTGAGATGATTTTGCGTGACAGGTGCAGCACTTCGTAAATCTTCGTATGACCTGGCCTCACTTTTTCGTGGCAGGCGCAGTACTTTAGACAGGTGGAGTGGAAAAATTGCAAAACGCATTGGTACGAGGCCTTCAGCTCTGCACTCAACGTTCCATTTTTGAAGGAATTCTCGCAGAATTGTTTCGTTTTTGATGTTGTCAACTTTGAAAATAATTGAGGAAGTCTCGCAGAATTGTTTTGTTTTTGACGTTGTCAAGTTCAACGAATATATTTTTAATTATTTGTAAATATCAGTAAATATCTATATATATATATATTTAATTGTTTATAGAATTATATATATATATATATGTATTTGTTTTTTGTTTATTTATTTTATTTATATATATGTGTGCGCCATGGTCCGGTAGCGAGTGTACCCAGACGCTCAGTGATTCCAAATCAACCAAAGACAATGGAAACAAACGAACATCATATCATTTCACTGAATGGGCCACCAGCTCTTCACAATGGGATTTACACGGACTTACATTAAGGATCTTGTGCCAACAATGACATTCACAACGTTACAGGAAAGCAGTGCCCAGGCGAGATTCAACATGATTCAACGCATGGACAAAACTGATGAGGGCAAAGAGAAAGGAACAAAATCAATTCACACATGGGTGCACAATTTGTAATTCAACATCACAAAGACCAGTTTCTTAGTTCGAACTCAGTATATAGTACCCGCCACCAGTGTTTGGGACTAGTGTGGATGCTTCGGATCCGCAGCCCGTCAGAAGTTGGATTGTATACCCATATTGGGAGTTGGTCATCAAACCATTAATAGGCATTTATGTGCCCATCATAAGGATTTCAACTATGGGATGGGTGTTCACAGATCATATACACATTGTTACACATGTACATACATACAGTACTTACGTTTGATAGTATACTTCATGTATCCTCATGTAAGTGAATTATGACCTGTTTGTCCTAATTACCATACTTAATTACAATTCATATGTGTATATATATATATATTTATTTATTTATATAAGGATTACACATGTACATACTTACATAAAAATGCATTTATTGACTAATCCTCGATCAATCTACCCTGGCACCTTGGCGATCTTCGCCAAACTGCAGGTGGTCACAAGCCACCTGGGTGTCAGCACCTTATGCGATTCTGTGCAGCCCTGAGACCACGCCAGCCACGCCATGTCAATGGCGGTTCATGGCCCAATGAATTCAATGGCCGTTCGGTGCTTGGGATGGATTTTTTGTGAAACTTCGATGCTTTCTGAAACCGGAGAATTTGCGGTAGTCTGACTTTTGTGGCCGATTCGAAGCTTGATTTTGGGGATTTTGTGGGCACGAAACATCATACCACCCAATCATGGCCATGAATCATGCCTAATCCCAATCTCACCATCCAAAAAAAACCCAACATCCCCTGAGGTTATGGGCCTCGGTGGTGACCATTATCAACTACCGTGCCAGTTCCATTGTGCCCTGGCATCCGCATCCACGGATGGTGGATCTGTAAGCCTTATGGGATGGATACCCAAGATGGGAGCTGATGACATGTATTTCCCAAATAAATCACTGGATGTATTGGAATAAACCGGGATGATCCGGGATGTAACTTTGGGAATTTACTGGGATGTATGGGAATATACCCCAGTTGCAACCACAAATCGTTAATTGTGGCAACATCTAAGTGTGGAAGATCAAACCACTTGGCTTATGATAGCTATGGGAAACCCACCATGAATCTACGACAGATATTGATATATAATGTTTCGAAACCATGGGTTTTCCATAGCTGGAGCGAACGTGTTTTACACAGTTTTTTCAAGTTTCCGGGATTTTATCATGGCGCAAACCCCAAATAATACCTGTATTTAAAATGGGAATGAAGGTCACTGATGTGTGTTGTTTGGTACCGCACTCTTGAACTATCCAAATGAACAGGCTCTATGTAAATGTGGTGACCGCAAGACACCTTTGAAGCAGTGCATTTGAACAAGACTACATGGACTTGCGTCCTGCTTGCGTAATCCATTCCCCCGTGTTTGGACATGCCATACTACCAATAATCCTGATGTCTTAAAAACTGATTCTAGATCCCGCTAATCATCCTGGTTAGAAAGTGTTGGTAAGCCCACTTTTCCTAAGGGCGTACATGGGCATACTAATTAGTTATTCGACCATTCTGACTAATCGTTCAGAAATATTTGTTGTTGACGATGTTGCCATTTTGGTGAAGACACGTGGACACTGGACCTGCGTTGAAACGGATACGGCTTCAGATTCGAGGCATGGGACAGTCAGACTTTGCTGATTCACTTGATGTCGCAAGCCCAAGAATAAATCCGTTGGGGCTGATTTCTTCTCATCTATGATCATGTATCGATATGTGTGGATATTTACTGATATTTACTGATATTTCTGGTAACAACTATTGGGGATGGACCCAACCATGAACTATCCAATGAACCAGCCATTTGGGGCCATCAATAAACCACTGTGAGGGAGGGTTGCTCCAACCCATTCTAGATAAATGATAACAGCAAGGGGGGTAAATTAGTCATGTTACAGTATCACCTCTTTTAAATCTTTTCTTTAATGAAATTAAGGAGGAGTATGATCATATTATTGGGTTTAATATGATAAATTTAAGAACCCACTCAATCACCCTGTTCGTATAATTTTGTTGTGTTATCCTCCATTGGGGATGGTGGGCGTGGCATTGGGTGAAAACCACTTTTACTAATAAACCATGAATAGGATTATCAAAGCATTTACCATGTGGTTACCCAGTAAATTCATAGGCATAATTATAATTATAATCCCATCACCCTAATATTAAACACCCCAATTTTTTATGGTCCCAATGGAATGTGGAAATTCCCTTTAAAAAAACAATGGTTTCGTTTAGGGGCTGTTTTTCATGTTTTTCATATGAACGGGGGTTCAGGGATTTTTGTTGCTTCTCCCGTAGGCTTCTCCCGTAGCCATCCGTAGCCATTTCCCAGGCATCGCATGAGATTCGCCGCGGTGTCATTGACAACCTGGAGGCCATTGAAGCGGTGCTGAAGCTTAGTGGAACCAAAGGAGCTGCCAGTGGACCCAAAGAAATTTAACAAGCATGAGTCTTAGATTGTTTGGAGAATTTTGGGATCATGATGTGTATATATTATATATATATTATATGTGTATATATAGATATGTATATATACATATATTATATGTGTATATATAATATATATATATACATTTCCTTTTGTATACTATATCAAATCATATGATACATGTGAGTTGTAGCCATTCCAACTTACCCAAATAAGAAGTCCATTTGCCCACTTCAAAGCCAAGTAATGACCTCTATTATGATCGCACTTACCAATCGTGTTTGAGTTACAACGCAGTTCCCCCCGCCAATGAATGTCAACCCATATTTTTTCAGCCGCTCTGTGGTTGAGGTAACCCACGTAATTAATGAGTCAGGCAAGGGTTATTGACTCGCGGTTGACATGTTCATATAAGTATGTTTATAGAATATATGGCTGGCTTCACGAATATTACAAATCAAGAGCTTGCAGCCGAAACAGCGGCGTGGCGTTTGTCAACGTTTATAGTTGGCTGATGATAAAGCACCAACAATGAGGACCCAATCAGCAAACATTGGGATTTGATCCACAAAAAATGAGAACTTAGCCATTACAAGTTGGGATGTGATAATTTGGATGGGTTCACCCTCACAGGATTTGATGGTTGTATCAAGATGTATCAAGATGTATCAAATGATATTCATGCATATCCACATATATCCACGCACCAAGAATATCATTGTACCATATTGTACCATATTGTACCGCTATAATCCCCATATAATCCCCATATGATCCCCCCAAAATCCGGGTTGCTCTCTACCAACGCCCCTCGCCGCCTGCCGTTGAACAACCGCCGAGTTGCCGACCCGCGGCATGGCTCCGGCGGAGGTACAGGTTGGCAAGGCACGAGTGGAGACCGTTCGTTCAGCTGGTGATTGGGGTTACTTTTACCCAGTGACAAATCGGATACCCTCTGGTAAACTAACATAGCTATGGAAAATCACCATTTTCAATGGGAAAATCCACTATAAATGGTCATTTTCAATATATAGCTATGTTAAATTACCAGGGTAAGCCAGTTTGGGAATTTCTTCACAAGGGTTAGCCAGCTACTATATACTGTAAGTATCTGTAAGTGGGATGACCTTCCGAATAACAAACGTGTTTTGTTTAAGCAGGAAAAGTACCTTACATTGTGGAATAAAAATCCTGGATCAACCAGGAGGAAGAGAATTTTGCTTGTTTGACCAACAACGAGAGGAAAACACTTGCGGCGGTTTACATTTACATTCTCCCTGTGTTTGTGATGATGAACTCCAAATGAATCCGCTGTACTGTGCATGATGTTTTTGTTGGGATTAGTTTGCCGCCAGCCGCCAAAAAAGGCTGAATTCGACCTTAATCATGCATTGAAGTTGAAATGATGTTAATGAAGTGGAAATATGTGGATCTTAACAAAGGAAAAAGAACCTGGTCAGCAAGCAGCAAGCACCAAAGGCAGAGAGTTGGGGACGACCTGTGGGTCGCCATGGTGGTTCATAGAAGATCCCAAGTGACTTTCTTGGAACCCATTTCTTTCCAGTTGCCTCTTTAAATTTACTGTACTGGTTGTGTAAGTTCATTGATCAAGATGGTGAGTCTTTTTCTGGCTCCGGATGTTTAGGTCATTTGCGGAGTTGAGCCATGGGGTTGTAGGAAGACAGCTATATAGGTAGGTAGCTAGGTAGCTAGGTAACCAGATAGAGAGATAATTGGGTTATCCCATTTAACTCCAAAGGTAGGTAGGTAGATAGATAGATAGATAGACAGACAGACAGATGATGACAGATAGACAATGATAGATAGATAGATCGATAGATAGATAGATATAGATAGATAGAGATAGATATAGATAGATAGATATAGATAGATATAGATATAGATATAGATAGATATAGATAGATTTATATAGATAGATAGATAGATAGATAGATATAGATAGATAGATATAGATAGATATAGATAGATATATATATATAGATAGATAGATAGATAGATAGATAGATAGATAGATAGATAGATATAGATAGATAGATATAGATAGATAGATATAGATAGATAGATATAGATAGATAAAGATAGATATAGATAGATATAGATAGATATAGATAGATAGATAGATAGATAGATAGATTAGATAGATAGATAGATAGATAGATAGACAGACAGACAGACAGACAGATAGATAGATAGATAGATAGACGGACAGATAGATAGATAGATAGATAGTTATAGATATATATATATAGATAGATAGATAGATAGATAGACAAACAGACAGATAGATAGATAGTGATAGATAGTGATAGATAGTGATAGATAGTTTCAGATGAATATATAATTGCTTTATCCCATTTGGATCCACTTATATCCATTTACAAATTCATGGTTTGAAACTTGCGGCGACAGTGATAACTCAGAGGCTCTGGGAGACCAGCAGGGTGGCAGCTCGTTGGGAATCCCAACCACTCTTGGGGCGAATCGGACAACAACGGCCACTTAGTAAGGGACAAGTCAAAACAATAAAAACATACTAAGTTGGACCTCATTAGATGATTTTTGTTTGTTTAGTTAGTAACAATAACCACTTAGTAAGGTCCAACAGCCACTTAGAGGGAAACTATATAGCGACTTTATAGTTGGACCTCGATGGTTTGCAATGGAAACTTTTGCACAACTTGCTCAGCCTGTTGGGAGAAGATGATGAACCGCCAAAATCATTGGTTTCTTAAAATAGGGGTGCACCATATCATTCCAGTCATTGGACCATTTTAGTTTTGAAAGCCAGATGGATATAGGAACCACCATTTTATGACATCGCCAATTGCTTTTGTAGACATCCTTGGTTGGTCCATCGGTGCGATGGCTAGACCCAGGTGTTCCTGTACATGTGGGATCTTTCGCACAGAATTGTCCTCCACTCAGCTGGAAACTGCGAGGGGACACCGGACCTTGGGTAGTTTTGATGTGTTGTTTTGTTGCCACCCAACAGTCCTGTTTGAATGGTTCCCTATTTTAGAATCTAAGATTAAGCATGCTGAACTGCAAGATTCTTGCAAGTTGGTAGTAACTCCCAACTAGCTATAGTGCTCAAATGGCCTGCAACCATGTCCAGAAATGTCCAGAATGCTTTGTTCATACATGTATTTGTCATTTGGATTCCAAGTCCAAGTAGAACGATCTACTGTAGCAGTAACTGATATTTGTTTTTTCCAGGTGTGCAAGTTTGATGAAATGCCAACCAGCTCAAGATCACTGCAGTGGGGGATATTCATGATGATTTGGTGCAACATGCCATTTGCACATCAAGCATCATTAAGCTAGAACATGGGTTCGCGATGGTTTCGGTCTATTCATGGTGTGAAATCTCGAACCAAAACTCGAAACAAAATTAGACACATACTGTAATTGTTTACAAAATCGGAGAATTCCAAGAACATTGTTGGAGATTCTGGGGTCCTAAATTCCAACAGACATGATTGGGGCTACGGTATTTCACAACACTTGCCTGGAAAATACTGCCGCATATTATGCAGGCAAAAATATACCATCACCATGGATGGCAAGGGCAACTGGGGGCCCCATCCCAATATCTCCCAGTTGTGTTTGAAGTTGCCAGGCTAACCCAGGTGCTGACACACACCATCCATCCTTGGTACATTTACCAGCTCTACAAGTGGTCCAAAGAAGACTTATGCAGCATGTTAAACTCACCCATATGCTCCATGGTTCTGGAATATTTACCAGCATGTTTCCCCATCACCCAAAAGTAGGTAGATAATGGTAGATATACGTAACATAAATCTGGATGAATTTCTCCATGACCTCAATGTGACATCACTGATGGTTGGGATTCGGGGAATCCCCAAATGACCTTTCAGCAACTGCTGAGGTGTGACACCTCGCGGCCGGAGCGGCTCCATGACTTTCAAGGCATTTGAGCAGAAGTGATCTACTGGGGATCATGGTGGATTTCAAACCCGGTATATCCCCACAGAAAACAGCTATAAAACAGGTATAAGTTGATCCCCTAACATCCCTTAACTATATGGAAAATATGTTATGTATTGTAGAATATTATGACTTCACAGCAAAATTCTGGGGAGATTCCTGATCAGGCACGATGTCCTTGGGACACGTCGCCGAGCTGCGTGCTCAAGCGGCGTATTTCCAGGTGCGGCACGTGGGTCTCCGTCAGAGACGGAAATGGACATGGAATGACATGGATTTCCCTCTGAATGTGGCAAACAACATTTGGGGATCGATTTTTTTGACCCAAAAATTGGGAGATGTGACTATGGCGACTATGGGCGTTCCAAATTTTAATCAGATTTGGGACCACTATAATCCACATCATTATGAACAATCAGGATTTTTGGGGGGCTTGATTGGGTATCGGGGCAGGATGTGCACGCGACATGGGGGCTAGGCTTGGGTGATCCCAAGCGATCGATTCTCCACGCACGTTTCTTGAAAGAGGGAAACCGGAACCCCCCCGAGAAACCATCCAAAAAATGGTTTCTCGTCTTAATTAATTACTTACAACAGACCATTTGGATATTTTTTGGAGGCACCAAATTGTGTGTGTGACTCATGACTAGTCAGCACTTGTCCCACAGGAAGGTGTGGGCAATGTGAGCTGGAGTGGCTTGAAGTCAGACCCTCAGAACCTCAGTCTTGCGGATGGATGATGATGCTGGTGGATTGTTGAAACTCTCTTGACCCGCAACTGGTTCACCAAAAATGGGGGCTTCCCGTCAATGTTTGACGGCCATGTTTGAGGGCCATAATCAATGGCAAAACATGGGAAAACCCCATCTTTGTTAGGCGAAGCAGCATCTCAGTTTTGGCTTTGTGGGAATAATATTCAAGATCAATATACTAATGTATGGATAGTCTACAGTGCTGTCAAGCCCTGTTAAACATATTATTCCATGACCCACATGGAGCAGTGTTGATTTCATGTGGGGATGGATCATAAGTTACCTATGAAACAGACCATATTTTGGCTGATGGACATCCAGAACTACCAGCAATTTTTTGGGAAAAAAAAGAGTTTTGCTCCAAGCCAAAAAAGAGCCCAATCAAACAACATGAAACTGCACGATCAATCATTAGTCTTTCTATTCGTACATCTCTTTGTGATGGTGAATAGTCCAATGTTGGCTGAATATTGGCTATTACTGACCGACGTCAAAAAGACATGGCCAACTGTCCAATCGGACATAAGAGCTAGCAAGCTTTGGCTGAAACTCCACACTCCCAGCGACAGTTTATTATGTTTTACCGTTATCTTAATTCAATTAGCATTTTATTTTTATGTTTTTAATGATATGTGATGTATACAATTATATCATATTTTAATGATAAGATATGTCCTCTTAAAGATGAGTGCAAGGGCGATGGTGTCCTGTGTCTTCCGGTCCAAGGTGGAACAACATCCGAAACCAGGAAGATGCACGGAGCCCACAGAATTTGGCGCTGCATACTTGTATCACATGGAAGAATACATGATTGGTATATATATATATATAATTACAATGTATATATATATATATATAATATGGTATATCGGTATATCTATATGGATATTACAATATATACCAATAATTACATTGATGCTTGGGGTTATGCATATCTCAATTGGTATATCTATATGCAGTAACCCCAACCATCAATGTATGGTATTTAGATGTATATATATATATAGTATTTATTCCCCACCTGCCAGGTGAGGGTCTCTAGATTACCTCGTTGTGACTGGGGGATGTGTAGCAAGCTCAGGCGGCAGTGCGCCTGGACCCGAGTATGTCAGAATAGGATGCCACATAGAATGTCCGATAGAATGTCAGAGCATATCCCAGAAAGAATGTCAGATACAATGTCAGAATATTATGTATATATATACATTGAGGGTTCAAGCAGCTGTAGACCCAAATCTCCCCCGCAGGCGGTTTCACAAACCTAACCCAAGCCATGCCTTTCTCTACCCCATGCAGGCTGTTACTCCAAATGATAACACGGGCCGGTAAGCTGCACCAAATGCTGATTCTCGCGAATCCATGGTTCGTCATCATCCCAGTCAGTTGATTCATCTATGGTGATCACAATGGGGACCCTGAATAAATAAACCTGATATGAGAATATGTTCGTCTGTGACTGGCCTAAGCGATGAAAGTCTGGGTTTGCCTGAAATAAGGCCCGCTGAGATAGCACAAAGGACATAGAATTGCAATTGTCGAACAGGATAAAGCCGTGAGAATCTCTGTCGTAATGTTGTAACTCAGCGGCCGTGGCACCCTGGACAGTTTGAATGAAAGGAGGCTTCTGGATATACGTAGGCAAAACGAAATGGAGGCATTTTGCCAAGGTGCTTTTGCCAGCGCGCGAAGGCGCCCGGAGCACAAGAAATTTGTACCGAGAATCTAAAATGGAATACTGTTTGGCCCAGTCTTCGACTCGGGCAACCACTTCTGGCAAAAATGGCTTTTGCAATGGCTGGAGCTGAGCCACCACTTCGGCCTGCTCACGTCGGAGGCGACTTTCGCTCTCCTGCTGCATGACTGCTTCCACAGCGCGTTTGCGGGTGATATAGCCCAAGCGCACCTGCAACCTGCTGCACACGGTGTTGACACTTTTATAGTGATAATTCTGGAGACATTGGCCCTCTTTCTGAAAATGCATCTATAGAATCAGAGACCCCAAGGTATTTTCAAGTTGACAATCTCTTTAGAATCGCTGCCCCCAAGTCACTCTCGTAGAGCCGTTTTTTGGTTGGGGGGGTTAGTTGGCCTTCTATAAAATCAGGCTCCCCAAGTGTCATTCATTGACAGCTGACCTGAATGCTCCAGTTGCTCTTGCCTACCTTACCTTATGCATTCCCAATTTTATAGAGCTCAAAGGCTCCAAGTGTTCACTGTCAACCTCTTCGATTATATACAAGGATGATCAATGATGATGAACGAATTGTTGTGGGAAATTTGTTCTGCCAATACTTCTCTATAGAATTGAAGAACATGACATACACCCAAAGAGAACAGATCCAACTATAGAATCGCAGTGGCTAAGGCTTTCTGCTGACTAGGACTCAGTGCTGTATTCAACATGAAATCTCTATAGAATCAGAGGCCCCAAGGTCCTCTATACAATTGAAAGCGTTGACACTGGGTAGGTACCCCTAAACAAAGCAGGGGGTTAAAACGCACCATTTTCCAGGACCCAACGTTCTTGATTCTGTAGAGGAAATTCCAAGGGGGATATTTGAAGGTATCTGAAGATATGTTACGGCCAAATTATTGCTTATGTTCGGACACGTTATCAGACTCGAAGCAGCACTTTTATAAACAACATAGGTGTTTGTGACGTTCCCTATTCTATGAAATGGACCTGCTATGAAGTGGTCCCACTGAAATTCACATTGGGTTTATGTTATGTTCCATTTCATACAAATCTTTTCGGAGTTGGTCAATATTCTGGTACCCGAAAACTGCCCGCACGCCACCCTTTCGCGAACCGTTCGCGCCCCAGCAGAATCGGGACAAGGAATTCTGATCATGTTTTCGTGCGCATATGTGTTTATACATAGTGGTATGCAGACCTCGTTGAATTTTAAGGTTTCTCCATCCCACTTTATTACTTGTATATTATGGTACCCATATTCCAGACCACATAAAATATGATAAAGAAACATTTATAGTATGGGTTTAATCATTTCATCCGGACATGGGTTCTTCCCTTCCATATAGAGCTTCAATCAAGGGGGATCGATAAACAGCTATTGACAAGTCAACTGCAATGACACCGCCTAAAGTGAGTCTTTGGCATCCGCACCCCTGGGTCCATGTATATATATATATAGATATATATATATATCCATAGATAGATATAGATAGATATAGAAAGACATATCTTTGTATAGATCTGTCTCGAAGAGATATATATATATGTGTGTGTGTGCGTGTGTATCTAAATCTCTCGAAAAATGTCTCTATATATCTACATATGCTGATCGCCATGCAGCCATGGAGCGTCCAATAAATGTGGACCCTGATGTATCTCCGGAATGAAAACAATGCTGCTTAACCCAGGCACGCGTACTGCAGGTACTGCTGATGAGAAAGCTTGTGCCCACTCCACAGCGCATCCAGCCATCTGCCCTGCACTGTGTAGTCCTTGAACGCCTCGTAGGAGCTGGTGGCAACGAAATGGGTTCCTACCTGCACAGATCGCCCGGGTGAATTCCACCCAGCACTCAAGGCATGTCAGCCGAGGAAATGATCTGGTGGTGGGTCCAGACAATTAGATTAGATGTGATGCTGGCGACGAAACAATCTACATATGCCGCTTGCTGTCAATTCCTGTCTCTGCAAACGGCCATTTATCGCGAAGCAAAAAGTTTCTTTCGCGCATCCTTCGCGAACTGCATGTGTATCTTTCGCGCAACCCATGTTGAGCAATAACTCCGCTTATGAAGATTCAATCGGCACAGGCCAAATCACACCAAATTAGCACGGAAAAGTGCTTCATAGCCTTGCAAACATTGTGCTAGCATCACGGAATCCCCTTCGCGAACAGGTTCTTGCTGCTGAGGAACTTTTTAGCAAGGCTTACTGGGCCACGCCCTTCAAAATGCCCTTTAACTTTACCTAGTCTTTTGCAGCACTTGCGTGCAACTGTCGTGCAAAGACTTGTCTCCGCAGACCACAGCCAGGAGCACGGGGGGGCGGCAAAGGAAAAGCAAACACCAGGTGCCTTGGTGTTTGGCTCTTGCAAAGTGTCCCTGTTCGAAGCTTGGCTGCTGCATTTCGCGGTTGTTTCTTGAGACTTCAGAAAGCAACGTTAGGCAGGACCAGCGGCAGGTGCAAGGATGTGCTTGGCCACCATGGTATTTGGCTCTGGCGAAGCGTGACCTTCGGAAGCTGGCTGCTACCTATGAAGGGAAAAGCCAATGTGCGGTCCCAGTCTCCTGCCGGACCCCCGACAGCAGGGAGGCGGTGGTAGCCCTTAACAAGCGGTACTGTAGACAATGAGGATGATGCATTCTAGCCACCGTTCGCGACACTTTCGCGAAGCAAACAGTTTCTGTTTCGCAAACAAACTTTCGCGCGGGGTCCCAGCACAAATGAACTGTGTTTGCAATTGAAACTCGTTATCAGGACCTTCAGATGGATCACCACATCTATATGTTTATATGCAGAGATATATTTCGATATATCGAGAGTGATAAATCTTGAATCAATGCGTACAAAGAAGAAGGATTGCCTATGCAAGACCACCCACGTAGATAGCGGTCCAATGAGTTCAGTTCATCCAAATCAGGCTCGTGGGTGCCCAGACCAAGGTGGCCTACAAAATGTTTGACTGCAAACACGATCTGCTGCAAAGCTGCCAGGTCTACTGATGATCAACTAGAAGCTACGTCATGCTGCTGCCACACGATCGGATTAGTGACAAAGGTGGCCTACATGAACTGCAACTTTCAACATGAGATAGAATGTCGTTACAAGGTAACCCAACGGAGATGCACCTTTGCAGCCCAAACGTAAAAATGTCCTTGGTCTGCCGCATCTCGCCAGCGTGCGCCCCGTGCCCGACATGGGGAAAGATTGGGCTGAATGCCCTTGAAACGGAGCGCCGTGCATGATTGCCAGTCGACGGGGCGGGCGAATTCCAGGAAGCAATGAATATGTAGACGGCCAGCATCCTCCGAACGCAAACTTGATTCCATCGTGGCACTCCATTTGCCGACCCACTCACACGTTGCAAGCCAAGTAAGGAACTCATCGAAATCCGCCAGCTGCAGCTGCAAGGAATTGTAGGTTACCAACACTGCTCGTGCTCGAAGACGAAAAGGGCGGGCATCACCTGTGAAAAAGGTGCAACAATGAAGTGGCTGCGACTAGGACTCATGACTATACCCCTTCTAGTTCAGTCTCTCCCATCTGCATGCAAGGCTGAGGCTTGCCTACTGTCACTGATGCATGTCATGTCCATCCACTGCTCTAGGTCTCTTACCCTCCGGAAAGCACCGTCCCGGATGCAGGGACAGAATGGCAACTACTTGCGGTCTGACCTGGTCCTGGGGCTGCTGCCATATCCACATCCTCTTGGGTCGATGCTGCTGCACCAGCTTCGTCTGCTGCTGCAACGCCCTGCAAAGCTGATTAGAAACAGTGTGAACCAGAAGGCCGTGCAAACCCAGCGAATGGTAGCACCAACCAGGACGGCTGAGCAAGTCGCAGCAGGGTGAGAAATGTGAAAAGTGACCCGAACAATGGGTCGCAGTCTTTAGCCCCCGACAAACAGGTGAGGCACCTCATAGAGGTCAATGATGTCTCGCAGCTTCTGAGTGTCACTCGGAGACAAGGTGCAGTTCTCCAGGCGCTGTCGTTGCGCTGCAAAGTCGGCGCGAGACAATTCACCCCGAAATTTCGGCACCTCGAGCTGGTTGGCTTGCAGCAGTTCCCGCAACGACCCGCACGCAGCACGCTTCCGTGTCGTGGAGGATCTCATGGCTCGGCCCAAGTGCAATGCGGAAACATCCTGTCTGCATGGCATGTCTTGGGTGCAAGGCTCCAATGCGATGTGCTACGTCAGTTGCTTGCGACACCCCGCTTTGCTGTCAGGTGGCCCATTTCCTTTGGAGAGGGCTTGACACTAGAAACAGCAAGGAACTCACCACCACGTCCTTAAAGCAGAATGCAGGTCACAGGCTTGAGCATGAAAAAAGCACATGGAGCAGATAGTCTGCTAGGATTCCATTGTCACAAACAGCTGGACGTGCATATGGCCCACAGGTCTGGAAAAAGCGTGTCGACCGTTGACACCCAGGAATGCTGCTGATGATTTCCGCTAGAGAAATGTGACTGGTAGAGGCACGTGTCTGAGTAGCAATATCTACAGAGACGGTCTGCCCCAGAAACAAAACCGCTCACGGCCCATGTTTTCACCCGACGTGACTGCAGTTCTCTCCGGCTGCCGCTTCGCACACGTGCGATCCACAGACGCCATGCTGCGACAGCACTGCAAAAAAAAGGAATGGAAGCTGGAAGAAGGGGTGGAAAAGAGGTAGATGTGATGTGGGAACATGGCCGCTGCAAATGATGGAATGGGAAGGATGTGCATGGGGGTAATGTCTTAAAGCTGCTGTTGCTGCTGCGCGCGACAGTACGCAATTACTATAGGCGGGACCGCAGCGGGACCGCGGCGGGACCGCAAAATGTGGGAATTCCCACGATTCCAGGTTGCAGGCGGGACCGGTCCCGCCGTCGGCGGGACCACTTTACCTGTGAATTTATAGGAGCGGGACCGCATACCCCGTTTGGGAATTATAATAATATACCAGGGGGGGTCAGGTGATGTTTTGGAGGTGGGGTGTGGGAAGATTCTTGGGGAGGTGATGTTTTGGAGGTGGGGTGTGGGAAGATTCTTGGGGAGATATCTTGTCTATCTAGCGTTGTATCCCTGGATGTCTTCTAACTGGGGTCTCTGGACCGCGCATGTCTTCCAAGCGCTTTGTCTTCGACATGGCGCTTGCAAGTCTGCGGTTTCCAGCTTTCACTCCTGCCGCGCTATGCCTTTGGCATTGGGGTTTTCAGCCTTGACATGGTCTCATTCCAAGCGCTCTATGTCTTGACCATGGCGCTTGCAAGTCTGCGGTTGCCAGCTTTCCCTCCTAGTGTCCATGCCTTTGGCATGGTGCTTTCGAACCTTCACATGGCCGCTCTCACTCCAAGCGCTCTATGTCTTTGGCATGGCGCTTTCCACATAGTGCACGGCTTGACTCTACTCATGCGGGCTTGCCATTGGATGCATGCGACGTGCCAGCAGCCACGTCAAATCATTCACATCCAGCTTTCCTGCTTGTCGTAGAAGACGTCTTCGTTTCCTTTCCTGCAGGCTATGGAGTACATGTCTTTCAACATGGGTTCAGCGTTCACATTTCCCACCTGCACTCACGAAAAGACACCGTATCCATGCATTTACATGCACTCTCCTGGTTCTGTAGTTCTTTGGTGGCTGCTGCTAACTGGCGTTTCAAATTTTTGCGCTCTTCCTTCAGCACAGCAACCCTATCAGCCGCGGCCGGTGGGGATGCAGCTGCCGCGGCGTTTGCATCAGCAGCGGACATGGCACTCAAGGCGGGCGAACAACAGGCTTGCTCCACTCAAACTGCATGCAGTCCTCAAGATGATCCTGTGTTCTCTTTGTGCTTGCCTGGTACCTCCTTTTCACCCCTGTTCACGACCCCAGAAACATGGCTACGAGAATGTGACAAAATGGTCATGCACCGATGTACCCTGATAGTACTACAACAGCAACTACTACTACTACTACTTCTACTACTACTACTACTACTACATACTACTACATACTACTACTACTACTACTACTACTACTACTACTACTACTACTACTACTACTACTACTACTACAGCAACTACTACTACTACTACTACTACTACTACTACTACTACCACCACCACTGCTACTACTACTGCTGCTGCTGCTACTACTACTACTGCTACTACTACTACCACCACCACAGCTACCACTACAATTACAGCTACACTACATTACACTACAATACACTATATAATTAAACTGCAGTACATTAGAGCTACAAATACAACTAACACTGCACTACATTACACAACACTACACTACACTAATTACATTACATTACACTACAACTGCAACTACCACTACATTGAGCTACACGACGCTACACTACAACTACAACTACACTACTTTTCACTACAATACACTAGACTACACTACACTATACCACGCTACAGTACACAACACTGCAGCACACTACAATAATTACACTACATGAATTACACCACACCACAACTACAACTGCAACTGCAACTACACTAGTTACACTACATTACAACTACAACTTAAAATTACAACTCCACTAAACTACAACTACAACTTCAACTACACCTACAACTACAACTGCACTACACCACACTTCATCCAGCAGTTGCGGTGAGGTGACCACTGCAACCATTGCAGCCACTCCAGAAAAGACAATTTAACCACCTTTCGGTCCATCAGTGGATTCGCTCTGCCATCCGTGATTCACAACAACCAACCTCTCCAGGTTTCCTATTTTTGAAACTCCCGCCACCGCCTTGTGCGGCACTACTGGAAGTACTATCAAACACTACTACATATAGTGACATAGTGGGTTCAGGTTCAACTTTCATAGCCTGTCATTGTTTGGCACCGAGGAAACTCCTCCCGCCAGCCGCCTGATCCACTTGAGCTTCTCGTTGCTCGGGCGGAAACTCGTGGGACAAGTCAATCTCCGCAGACCTGGTGTAGCTTTGGGATCTTGGGGCTTTCGGTTTTGGGACCAATGGTTCATTGATTATGGATTGTTAATGATGGTTATGGGCTTTCAATGGTTATGGTCAATCTTCCGTTTTTCAATCAATTTCAATCTCTCATCTTCTGACCAAAACATACCAAAACCACGTCTGCTTTCATGGATGAAGAGATATGAAGAGTCCACCAAACCTAGCACAATGCCACATCCTAATCATTAAAGATATTGAAGTTAAATAATGACACGGAAGCATTACACTCCAGTACCTGCGGGAAAACCGCAAACCACGCTAGACGCCAAAAAATCCCAGGGCTGATGCCTGTCCAACGACACACTGTCTGGCACGCCGCATTCAGCCACCTGCAAAGAGGTCTATAAAATTCAATGGAAAGATGTCGGCAAGATTGGCGGCAAAGAGATGTTGCGTCAG